AACTATATATATATATTATATATAATATATATGGGGCTGTTGTAGTAGAAAGAGCCCAAACTCCCAGAAATCAAAATTGAGTTTTTGTAATATTCGAATAAATTTCAAGATGGGCTATATTTTTTGATTATGATTTGCTTAATAAAATATTAAAATATATATAAAAAAAATTTTAGAAGATTCATATATCACGAGATTATCTGATATAGCTAACTAATCAAATCACAGAATTTATGATTGACCCAGATCAGTTCGAACAAAACAAACATGATTTTCTCAAAATTATATATTTCTGAGTTTTGGCCCTTTCTACTGCAATGGCCCCATATCTAAACTAAATGGTTTATTTAATATTTATTTTATATTTAATTATCTATTACAATAATCTTTTATTATTGTAAAGTACTCAAGCTTATTAATATATTTATTAATTTATAAGCTAGATTATTTAAAACTAGAACAAGTCTTTAATAGACAAGAACTAAAACAGATTCATTATAAAGAGAAATTGAGACAGGTTAATTGTGAGAAAAAATTAGGACAGGTTCATTATAGAGAGAAACCAAAGCAAATTTATTGTAAGAAGAAGTTCATTGTAGAGAAACTAGACAAATTTATTGTAAAGAAAAACCAAAGTAAATTTATTGTAAAGAAACTAAAGCATATTTATTGTAAAAGAATTTGAGTATATTTATTACAAGGGCTAGAGTATATTTATTGTAAGAAAATAACAGGTTTATTATAAAAGAGCCAAGAAAGATTCCTTGTAAAAAGAAAATATACAATATAGTAAAATTTAAAGTATTAGTAGATATATATTGTCGGGGATGATGCTGAAATCAGATGATACTAAAATTTGGGGACCTTAATTTGAAAATATCAACCCTACTAAAGTCCACCTATACTCTTTTATTATAAATACTAACCCTAAATTCTAATCGAACTATGAAAAAAAAGCTGAACAAAACACCCAAAAAAATTTTACATTTTCATAATAAAATAAGTCAAAATTTCAGCATCATCCGATTTCAGCATCATTCCCGACATATATTAAAAACAATTAATATATATTATATCTAATTCTAATTAGTATTTTAATAATTTTATAAATTATTAACTTACAATTTTTATAGTTTTTTACAGATATATAAGAATTTGAAAGAGGATATTTATTAACTATTCTTTTATATTACTATCTTTGAAATTTTTAAAGTTTTAAAATTTATATAACAAGAAAATAAATAATTTTTTTATTTAAAAAACTATATTATATATATTTCTATAAAAAACTATCTAACTTCTCTTTTAAAGCTAGAAAATTCAAAGAATTTTATAGAAAAGAAAAAAAATATCTTGCAAGAGAAAGATATAAGAAAAAAAGTATTTATATAAGAGAGAAAATAAAAAAAATATCATAAGAATAATTTTCTTATCAGTTTCTATTTAAAAAACTTTGTAACAACTAACAATAAAATCTAAAGCAGAGTAAAAAAAAACAACCAAAATCAGGGTAACAAAATATCAATAGCAGTTAGAAAAAAGAAGTACACTTATAATTATATATTGCTAAAGTTTGTTTTCTATAAAAAAATTTAACAAGGTTTGCAATTACAATTAAGCAAAATATCTGCAATAAATTTTATTAGTTAATTATATGATACTGAATATATAATTATACAATATTCAATCTGTAAAACTTTAGTTTACAAAAAACTCTTTCTGACGATCTTCTAGACAATGCAACAAAAAACTGAACTACAGAAAAATGCTATAGGAAGGTCCAAGAATATACTATTTGCAGTTCTGACTCTGAGTAATCAGTTGTCAACAAAGCCTGTAGACATGAAACACTAAGGAGTGGGTGTAACTTGGGCAGTTTTTCTTGGGGTTAAATCTTTGCTTTTAGTGGACTCCTCAAGATATTTGGTATCCCAACCAGAAGATTTATTTTGGAAACTGAACTTAACTTTGAACAGGTTGCTGTTAACAAAGCTTAAAAGATGTAAAACACCAAGAAGCAGATATAACTTAAATAGTTTTTTTTGGAGTCAAGCTTTTTTGTGTTATAGTGGACTCTCCATGATATTTAGCATCTAATAGAAGGTTTATTCTAGAAGCAAGTAGTAGAATAGCCCTTGCTGCAATAGTATAAGCTTGAAAATACAACTATACAACTATAAAACTTATAAAAGAACCTTATACACTCTTATTGGCCTCCTACTTTTTTTTCAAAGAAAAATTTTGAAAAAAGTAGGCGATTTAGCTTACTCTCTCCAAAAGATTGATAAATTGTTTACTTACCAAATCAGGTGGTATTGTTTACTTTTGTTATCTATCACAACAAATACGTGGATATCGGGATATAGATAACTAGATTATGTGTTTCGAATATGGCAATCTGGACAAATAATACTTTGAGCCCAATGGTGCGAATTTCCAATCTCTCTATGGTGCTGACATTGAAGAAGCTTTCTCTTTTTTTGTTTTTTTTAGGTTTTAAGTTTAGATATACTATGTATATAAATTAGTATAAAGAATAGTTTAGATAGCAATATATAATTTTAATAAGCCTAATATAGGCTTATAATTGTAACCATCTGGTATGGTAAAAAATCTCATATTTAGTTTAGTTTTTTCCCTTACTCCCTTTTTTTCTTTTATTTGTTTTTTTTTATATATTTTTCTATACCTCTGTATTTGTTTTTAAAAATTTTTCTTTTTCTTTCACTTCTCTACAAGAAGATATTATCAGATTCATGATATCTTATTGTAGGGCAGTGGTCAGACAAGCCTCTAGTTAGGGTATTATCTTAATTAATCATATCTTGCCAATACAGTTAGGTCACCTATAGGTGCATATAGATAATCAGTTAGATTATACAAGACAACCACAGAATGATAGATTTGCATATTTAATGTTATGATATTTTTATAGATTCAGTCTTAATTAAATAAAGATACTGGTGTGATTTGCCTAAGTGAAAAAAAAACTATAAAACTTTTAGCTAATTTGGTTAATTTTTAATAATTCTCAATATCTTAATACTATATATATATTATATTTGCTTAGCAGTCTAGTTAAATCTTCAATTGTCTTATTATATTTGCTTATAATAAAATTTATTATACTAGTAACAATTCAAATATATTTATTATCTCTAGCGATTTTGTTAATTTGTTAGTTAAATTAACAAGTATATTTTTATATAATAATTCTTTTTTTGATATTTAATAGTAATATATTATTTAATTTTTAATTTTTTTTTGAAACTTTTTAAAATC